ATGAATATAATATACAAGTTTCACTTTTTAAATGGAATTACTGAAATAAATCTACTTTTTCATGATATTCTAATTTTATGACCAGCACCTGTATATCTGATTTCCTTTTTATATTAAACCCATGTTTGTGACCAGGTTTCTGTCAGGTGGACTCACCTTGGCCTCGTACTCCTCGGCCTGCTTTAGGTCTCTGGGGAAGCCGGTGAGGACGAGACCCTTCCCCTGTCGCAGCGACGAGGCCACGGCGTCACACAGCAGCTCCAGCAGCGTGTTCTGCGGATTACACACAAATCAGTCGTGTCACAGGCTTAATCCGATCAGCAAAAACTAAAGGTAAAAAGTCGATGTCAAGGAAAGGTTTAGTTTTTAAAGAGTAGTGTGGTTCAAGAGATATTAATCCAAAATACGAACAGGTTTGACTCCAATACTTGAAGGTAAACTTTTAAGCAAACATTTTGCACTTGGACTGCATGTGTATGATTCTCAGCTACTACCAGCCAAATCTTAGCTCAATGTCTAAATCAGGGATTGCCAAACTTTTCCATACCAAGGCTCCCAATAATCATCAACTTTTAGAATGTTTTTTCTCACTTTTATTCACTTGTCAATATTTGTTTAGCCTAAGAATTTTATCAACTAACATGTTTTAACACTAAAAACAACTTTCCAACAAACTATTGAGAACAGAACGTAAATAACATTTCAGTATATTTTTTATACGTTATATTTAAAAAATAACGGTTGAAAAACAGATTATGGTAACGATTTCATTAGATTTAATTTTTAAATTTGTGCTTTTTTTTGCACCGCCATTACCCCTGACGGCCCCCCGGGGGGCCCCGGCCCTCACTTTGAGAAACCCTGTTTTAGACAACTTATGCCAACTAATGAAAATGTTACAGCTAGCCTGTTGTACTCATAGCGGCTATATATTTGAGCTAATTGTTAGCATTACAGTATGTAAACCTCCAAAACAGGCTTCAGTAGATTTTTTTTTTCAATTCCATCTTCAGCTTAAATTTTGTTTTGAACAAACATTTCACAAGTTGCAATAAGTTGTTTAAAACATGGTGTGACAGAGCCTTTAGTATTTACAATAATGTATCATAAAATTAAAGCAAATATGCAGCATTGTTACAGTATTTTATTATTTCCTAATGATCATGTAATGTAATTATTATGTAATGTTAACTGAAATGAGCAGCAGAGTATAAATAAAGACAGATATTTGATAACCTGTCAAACTGACGCTGCACCCTCCTCTGTTCTGAATAAAACAACTGAGCGTGAAAAGGCCGATAGCTGCAGCTGCTAATTCAAATGTTATTTTTAGTTTGTGTGTCAGCACTGCTCTGTCCTCGGTCGTCTTACATTAAAATGAGTTTGTGCTGTCTTTATTTTATTTATAGATGACGGTGGTTGTTAGGAGTCAGAAAGCTCTGCAGGTTTTATTTTACTGGATGATTGTTTTTAAACATAAAACAAGGTTTGCTGCATCTGACTGATAGATGTAAAAAAAAATATCAACAGCTTGATTCTTTTCACAGAACAAAAATTAAAAGTCCAGGGTTGAAGGACGTGGATTAAAACAAGAAACATGTTAGGGTTTGGTTTTAGGATTTTTAGGAAATAGGTAAAATCATCACAATCTGTTATAAAAAAAACCTTAAACCTTGTTTACTTTTACAGAACATAAAACTTTAACGATGCATCACATTAGTGACAACTTACAGCTGTTCCTGCCACAGGAGATCTCTCACACACACATGTTTGTTTCTTGACCCCGTGGGGACCTTCCATTGACTTCCATTCATGTTTTTTGGACTTTATATCCTAACCCTGACCATATACTCTAAAATTAACCTCACAGAAACTT